AATTATTTTTGTATTTTATGAATATTAAAATAAAAAATACTTAAATCAAACCTTTATATTAAATATGTTCATGGTATAAATGATTATTATATATGTAATTTATTCAACAATTTTAGTAAATCACTGTCCTTTCAAAACATCACTTCGGTAAAATACGTCTAAACTATTTATTTTGAAAGTGGCTTAAGTCACTTGACCGTAATGAAAAGTGGTGACTTTTTTAATGTTTATACGAAATTATTTATACTGAGAAAAATATCAGTATCCCGAGATAACAAATACAAGTGAATCTTCTCGAAAGTTAGCATCCATATTTTGAAACGTGTTAAAACGCAAACCCTTAAATATCTCGACTTAAAAACAAAGTGACTTATGCCACTTTCAAAATAAACGGCTCATTTTGCCGATTGCCCGAGTTTCTATAAAAACGAGCCGCGAGGCCCGAGGAATCGCGACTTGGTATACTGAGATCTGCCAGCTTCAATTCCGACCTCCGAACATTTCTGAAAGAAATTACTATAAATTCTCGGGAGTAGAATTCAAGATTGTTTAATCCTCATCAAATGTTACAAAAATAGTCGACCACTGAAATACAGATAAAGTAACAGAGATTTTGCTTATTTATCGGAGAAAAGAATAGTATAACGAAACGCGATACATTGGCAGTGATCCTAAAACGAAATCTGTGTTGTAGCCTCTCCGAATGGATTCCTTAGAGTCAAAACACACTTACGGGCATGGTTCGGGTTGTTTGGACAAGACACAGAAGGGTGAGAGGTTTGACAAAATGCGCATCGTGATTCTGAATCGTCGTCTGAACGCTCCAATTGAATTTCATGTACGGTCGGTGTTCTTCATACGCGCATCATGTGTTCAAAATAGATTGAAAAATATAAAACAAGAGGGGTGCATGACGGATGTTCAGGTCGTGCGAAACGTTGCTCGAAGATTTTTACTGGTTAACATGTTGATAGGATCATAAAAATATACACCGTTTTGGTGACTAGAGGCTGTAGAAGCTGCGTGAGATATTTATGTGACTTTTACTACTACACCACAAGAACGTGATAAAGTTGAAAACTTGTTAGAGTAGCATATCGATTGTAGGAATGTGTTTCTTGGGCAGTGTTATTTCAAGGATACAACAAAAATCGAATTCTATTACAGAAATCTTAGAAAATCTGAGCAATATTCGCTGTTTGAATTAACAACTTTAATCAACTGAAATGGAAATTTTCACCGAGTCACTATCTGTTTTCATATCTTCTTACTATGCTCAAGAATGACGTTTTCATCAGATATTCCATAAACACAGTTTGTTTTTAAATGAATTTTGACCAGTTTCGAGAATTATGGAAGTCGTATTTGCAGCCGTTAAGTCATGCAAACTCATTTTTCTCGTCAATAGAGAATATTCGTCACTGAAATTTGTTATAGCTTACTGTGAATACGATATTTAATTCGCGGACGCTCGCATGAGAAGTACTTATGATTTGAAATTAATTAGAATATTTTCAAACTGGAAACACATTAATTTTAGATCGATTGCTATGTTTCTCACACGTTTACATTGTACAAAACGTATCTTATAAATTATGTAGAATGGTATATAAAGATAACAAGTAAAATAATTGCATTAATAATTTGTAACATGCAATTTGACATACCTAGACAGATTTGAGTCGGAATTATATAAAAATCTATTTAATAAAACGATCGAGATAATACAAAATAAAAGAGAGTTTCCGTATAACTATTAAAATATTTATTTATATTATGGAGGATACTATTTTTAGAGATGGCGCATTACGTTTTTCTTCAAGTGAAACTTTGTTGTTTTTCGTTGTGTTGAACATTTCTTCTACTTGGTATCATTTAATTTATGAAGGTGTCGGGTACAAATTAATGACTTTTTCACTTACAATGTTGTTCAATATAAATAGAATGAGAAACTCTTATCTTCATCATTTTCACATGATCTCATGATTTGTCTTACTTCAATGGTATCTATAATTCTCCATAACTACGTTGGGCAAGTGTAATGTTATTCGAGGACACTGTCCGAGTTTCCGTCAAATTATCCGGCACAGTAGAATCTCTCCTATTCAAATACTCATTATCCAAATACTATGATATTTTTGTTCCATTATCTCAACATTCAATTATGCAGAGTTCTTGAAGCTTCCGTGATCTGATATCATGTAATTTTCACTGTTACAGAATTCGAGTGTGAGTTGTTCAACTTTGGGAAAATTACAATTAAAAAGTTTATATAGCTAAATACAAATTACGTAGAGGATTTGTAAATGCACAATTATAACAATTATTGTATTTCAATGTTTATAATTGATTTGTTGATTAATAATGAATAATAATATGAGCGGAACTGGGCTTCGTCCGCTCGTTGGCTCGGCTGCCTCGCGCCAACTAAGTTCGCTTCTCATTGGTAATTGTTTTAACTCGTAAACAAAACCGTGGATTGCATTTTCGTTAAGAAAAAGTTACTTTAAATGACCTCAGGAAGCCCCCCCCCCCCATTACCAGATTACGAGACATTTTGTGACATCCTGAAATTGTATAACGATCATACCCTATGTAATTTCTGTTGATACGGGTAACGTGATATAACACAATTCTGTATTTTCTTGCTTTCTTTTTTTCAGAGAAGTTTTATTCGGTTGACGCAGTCAAACTGAATTGGCGTGATCAAATCTTTTTCCCTCGAAGCATACAGTTCCTGTTCAGAAAATCGGCTTGATGCATTTTTTATCAGCAATTCAGACTGCGGCTTTTATGCATTTATAGGAAAAATGTATGTAAAAATGTTGATATGTTAATTAGAACTTATTAAAATTATTTAAGAGAGAAACAAGATTGCACTTGGCTCCTACATCTTGCAATTGATGCACACAATTTTGATTTTGCTTAATGATTCGCGGTCCAGTCATTACTATTATTGTAGTTTAATTTCATTTACGGTAGCGGAATATAGAATCAGGAAACAACAAGAGGAGACCTTCGCATACACGCTATCGATATTCATTCGCATTTACGTATGTATCACATTGCGATAATAACAACGGAAGGAGCAACGTATGTTTGCTACAAGTATAACGCGTTGGCTCGGTGTAGCGATCAAATCGTTACTAGAATTTTCAAAAAGGAGGATACACGTGTTGGACAATCTGAAAAGAAAACGTTGTTATCGTGAGTGTTCATTTTGAATCCTTGTTGCATTGCAGCGCTTTAGCCAGGCGTTCGACTGTCGGGGCAATCTATTTATTCGCCCGTTGCCACCGCGTCGTAATTAGATTTACTAAATTAGGTTCCTGCTTGAAACTTGCCCGTTGGACAATAGAACTACTAATTAGGGGATTGAAGTGTCATGCAAATTCACAGGATAGGCAGTACCGAGGTCACTGAAACGTTGAAAATATACTAAGCTGATCGTTTTCATTCTACGTCTGTAACTCTTGTATTTCTACACTGCTATATTATTGTATATTATAATGTTATAGTATAGTATTGTTAGAATTATAGGTTTAATTGACATATTTAATAGAAATGCATTACGCCGCGATACAATTACATGCGTTAGCTCTGATCCTCTTTTAAGACGTGCATGATGTAACTACCTTAATATTCGTCTCATTTAAACAAAAATAATACTTGTCCCTTGACAATGATTTTTTAAGTACATCTGGAGGCATGCTATCAGTGTTAGTATACAGGGTGTCCCATTTAAGCTGAGATTGTAAAAAATCTCGTAGACACGTGATTTAAAGAATTTTAAATGCTTTTTTAATGCTTGGGCGTTTTCAAGGTTATGTCAAGGCCACCTTGTTTTTTATATCATAAACCTATATTTTTTATTTCGCAATCATATTCTACGTAATGTGATCTATGATAAATAGAAAGATAGATAGATATAGCGATAGATCTATGATGTATGCACAAGTAAATTCTCCCTCGTTTTTATACTTGTTGATGACCGGTAACTATAAAAGCGTGCCACAAGGCTCGAATAATCGTATTTCCACTTCCCAAATTGTTCATTTTTGTGCAGAATCTGAGCGTCAATTAGGGAGAATTTACTAATTTGCTTTGGTTTTTCGCAGCCGTATCTCTTTCAAATGTTACATCCTCATCCATTGATCCGCATGCTGGATTGCAGCTATCCGTTCCAAACTTTTTCTATAAATCGGCAACATAATTTTCTTGTGTCATGCATATTCCCTCTGCATCTCGTTTAATATTAATACCTAAGCAATATCTAAATTTTTCCAAGTCTTTTATATATCAAAATCTTCAGCCAAGTTGATCTTAGTACGCAGACTGCTATGCACAACTTGGTACATCCTATTCGATCACTGTATACACACATGGAAAAATACCATAGGTTTAAGTCTTAAGTTCGTTAGCTTTTGGTTCAATTTTTTGTTTCGGTGCTTACCATACGAGGCTTTGTTCAAATGACACACACGATGATTCTGGGATTTTATCTCTTTCAAACATAACATTTGCCGTTTTCTGTATTTTCTTCTCTTTTCTCGAGTCCTTTTAATCCATCAGGCATCTCCACATAAATATATTCTTTTAAAATTCCATTTTGATATGCATTTGTTACATCTAGTTGTTCTACTATTAGGTTTAATTTAACTGTCAAGGCTAACAATAATCTGACGGAATCCAGTCTGGCAGACGGTGTAAACGTATCTCCGTAATCCATTCCTGGACGCTGAGTAAATCCTCTCGCCACTATCCTGGCTTTTCGTTTTTCCAACGATTCATCCGCCATTAATTCGCAACAACTGCACGTTATCCTACATATTATCTTCCCATTCTCAGGCATCTCTACAATATCAGAAATATTATTTTTTTATTTTTATTTCTGTAATGCATCTTTTACGGATATGTCGGCCATGTTAGCAGCTAACATAACCAAGTTCGCCTCTTCGTTCGAGTTACTTCATTTTTCTATACTTTCATTTTTTGAAAATGACTATTGTTGCGGCCAAGCGGCCAGGATTTATGGCAGAGGCCATGTGCTTGGCTACCCCGACGGTATGGGTCTGTCTTCGGCCGTTCCCGGGCACGTGCGGCCCCGTCATAACGTCTCCTGGTCCTCGATTACGGTCCAGTCGATTACGGTTGGGTCTGGCATTGTTTGGGCACGTAGGCCCATCAGCGCGGGATGTTTAGCAGGTGTTAGTTTGCCATTCTCCCTGCTAACTCCCGGCCCATCGTTTTGGGGCAGTCTCGCTGGATCTGGGACTGCAGTGATTGGACCGTAATTCCTTGCCGCCCACCCTAGGTCAAGAAGAGTAGGGAGGACCAAGGTAATATTAGGGATGACCCCGGTCCTCTGGATCTCAAGAGAGAAACATAGTAAGAGAGAAGACCTCGTCAGAGACACGTTTCGGAATACAAGAGACTGGCCACGAGACCACAAGGGACTCGGGAGATACACGAGAGTCAGGAGAGACCACAAGGGACTCTAGAGACATCGTGAGAGATACGTGAGACCATAAGGGACTCACGAGATACATAAGAGACCTAGTAATCGGACGACACACCACGTGCAAAATCCTACAGAGCTCGAAACTCACAAGGAGCACCAACGAGCACTAACAACTATAGTTTAGGAGATAATTCAAGTGCGTTACTTCAAATGGAACATACTGTATACAAAGTCCGAAATATTTCAGAAAAAATGTTCTAACAAAAGTTGTTTGGTATGAAAGGAAGCATAACGTGATATAAACCGCTGATCGATGATAGAAATGATCACACATTCCAATATTTTTAGCCTACCGCTAAAATAAGTGTATGTATCAGGTTTTACAGATAGAATTAAATCGTAAAAACCCAGTTACAGCCACACAGTACTAAATTTTCTTTTCTTTGTTTTTCTTTTTCAAAAAAGATATATGTTTGTAATATTCTGAATTAGTATGATTGCTAAGTTATGTTATTATGGATCAGCATATTTAAATAGATATGTTGAAAGACTAAATATTTTAAGCTGAACTACTTTTGGAGGAACATATTGACTCTTGCGCGCCATGTCTGACTGAATTTAAACCAAAAGTAAATCTTTATTTTGCGTTATCCTTTCTCTGATGGAAGAGTGTAAAAATGAATTTCATTATATTACGTTATAGAAACCTTTCCCTTCTTAACACTAAACCTACCGCGGTAAAAATGATCGGTTGATAATTTTACGATACTACAAACTTTAGGGATCTTTTCGCGGGAAATGGTTGAATAAATTATATTATTAGAACAAGCTTTATAACTGAAATTTACAAAATCTAAATAAATTCTATCTTTTCACTCTTACGAGTTAACGCACATCAGTCATCATTATTACTGTTTAGTGTTAATTAAAAGTCAACTTGAACCCAACTTAATTCTCCAAACTTGAATGTAGCAATCTTCTCAAATGTGCATTAAGGCCAATACCGTGTATTCGTTAGTATATTTGCAAGATTTCAATACTTTATGTCAAATTAGAATCATTTGACAGTAGAATTTCGATTATCCGGCACACTTGGAACTACAGCAATGCTGGAAAATCAAATATACCAGATAATTAGACTATACCTGCATATGAAGTGACAGAAACGAGGAATATAATTTTATTTAACAAAATAAAATAAAATATATTAAATTTTACGAAACGAAGTCAAATAATATTTTACCAATGAGAGAAATGAGCTTGGCTGGCGCTTCGAAAATAACTCGTTAATAAGCCGTAAACAAAGCCGCGGATTGCATTTGTGCTGAGGAAAAAGTTTCTTCAAATGACCTCAGGGACTCTTCATTTCCCGATTCCGAGTGACATTTGGGATATCCTGTATAAATTCGGCAATGTCGATACCATCGCAATAGAACTGTCCGATAAACGAATTATCATGAATGTATCATTCAGATCTGTGCAATCGAACTCTGTCAAGAGAAGGCGAACAAATAAATCAATTTGGAAAGTTCAGACCAGAATCTTTACTATTCCGTAAAACTCCTCTTTGAAAGATTTCAAATAACGGTACGAAGAAAAGAATATAAAATACGCCGATACTTCTCGACAAAAAAAAAAACAATTAAAGAAGAATACGAAGAAAAGAGAGTAAAATAATGAAGAATAATACAGGAAATCGATGGTAAAGAATTTTTGTAACAGCTATCAGAAAGGAGTAATAAATATAACGATGAAGAAGGTAAATAATGTTATTATCTTGTTTGTTTAAAAAATGAATTCAATTTACTGAATTTAGGAATCGAGCACATGGAGAATACAAAAACAATTTTTATGTTTGTCACGACTGCAATAACGAAAACTTGATTCAAGATTTTACTTCTTTCATTTAGTATTATAATTCGAATCGATAAATATTGTTAGTTCGCTATACTCCTACTACTTGATAAAAGCAAATGCAATAAGTAATGAAATGGTATAGAATGATTAATAAGGATAATTATTTTCATAAAGTATATGTATATGCAATGGTATTCATCAATTGTAATAGCTTTTTATAACCGATGAAGAAACGATCATTCTAGCTTGTATTACAATATGTTCCCCAATGTTGTACATGTAGTTCTAATACATTCTCTCATATTTTCCACCGAAAGCTTTCCGCAATGTGAATTCCGTCAAAAACATGCCACTGCGATGCATCTCCCGGGTAAATGCACCAAATAACCGAAAACTAACTTCAAAGACGTGGCGAATAAATTATGGGAAACACTTTTGATTGGTTTTTCATTGAAATTGATTAATATTACACGGAGAATCGTCCTGCCGGTGACATAGTTATAATAAAACTGAATCTGCATGGAAAATTCAGTCGAAAATCTAAAACAGGGCTCGGTATTAACCAGCACGCAACTTTCAGGTCGCGAGGGCTACGCCTCCTGACTCCTGTCGCGTGTCTCCTTCTGTGACTGACTCTGTTGCTTTATATGTGTTAGAACAGTAGTATATGTGTGCGTGTTTTAGGCGATCACTGAGGAGCGGTGAGAGTCAGGAGGCGTAGTCCTCGCGACCTGAATTTTTCGTGTCGGTTAATTCCGAGCTTTGTTCTAGGTTTTCAACAGAATTTTTCATACAGATTTTATTCTTCATATTATTTTCTTTTTACAATTTATTTGTTCATGTAGAATCGTCGATTCTCCAACATAAGATGACTAACGACCACTCCACGGACTGTTAATACCAAGATAACGATTACTATTTCAATATAAAATTACGAGTAACCACGTACAGTTTTAATTTTTAATATATTTCTTTGATACATGCGTAACCTGTTAAATGAATTGCACTCGTACCTCAATTTACGCGGAATATTTTACACTTTCAAAGTTGCACGAATGTAATCCGTCGATGCGAAGGTAAAAAATATATATATATTCACAGAAGATAAAAGTTCGAATACTAAAAGCTATAAATAGCGAAAATGAAAAAGATTCAACTTACATTACAATCGTTGCCGGCATTTGCAGTATTTGCGCTGTCTTCTCAGTGTTAATCTTTCCTTTTTCATCGATTTAAAGTTATTATTCCTCTAACTCGAAATGTTGAATTAACAATTTTATAATTTCCATGGATATTGTAGAAAAATTATATTTTCTGCTCATGTAAAACAGAGGACGAATGTTAAACGCAAATGAAATTGTTAAATGATATAAAATTGTATTTATAATTAAATACAATTATTAATCAACGCACAGTAGAGACACGAGAATAATTGCAGTACAGTAAACTCTCTTCAATTGTTCTTCAGCTTCTAAACAAAAATGGACAATTTGGAAAGACGATATACACTTGCGACTCGTTTTCATAATTGTTGACAATCGTCGACGAGGCTCTCTCAAATTGTCCGTTTTTGGTTACAAACTGAAAGACAATTATTTTCCCAAATTATCTGCCTTTGTTTAGAAACTGAGGAACGATTGGAGAGAATTTACTGTAGCAGCTAACTTCCTTTCGTGCGAAACCACGTTTTCCTCGTAACGAATTGTAATGCCGTTGCATGTGTAATAAGCAACAAAAGAGAACATACGTCTATTTATAATTTTATCGAGGCATCGAATTTATACAACGTTCCAACGAGATCAATGCCACAAAAAGAAAATGTACCTACTTTTCACCGCTTACATATTCATAAACAGGGGAATATTCAAATCCGGTAATATTAATAACTGCTCGTAACTTTCCCATTTGGAGCATGCGTCACTTTAATTGCGTTTACTTCCTCTCTTAAGCGAAGTGCTTGCAGATATTTCAGATTTCCGCAGTTATATTTTCTAATAAGCAGAAAAATTGCACGATTCGTGGAATGAATATAAAGTTGGGACAACATTGGTTTTCAAGGTCATTTTAATTCGAGTTTTCAATGTCATTGTAGATTTTTTACGATATTACGGCGATCGCTTAACGGGTAGAATCAGATGAAATTTGTCGAACGCTACATTCTCTATTTAATTAATTTTACGGTTTGATGATTTCACATTGCGCCGTGTGATGCATGCTGATGTAATCGTCGATATTTCCGCGAGTGAGTAAGTCGCATGCATAAAATCTGCAGATACAGTATCGTCAAATAAAATTGTGTCGCGTGATTAATGACTTCGTAATGCTACTGATTATTACATCCAATTATCGTTTGCTCGAAATAAATGTTTAACAGAACTTGCAAGAAAAAAGTGAGAAAACACAATCCGCTTTTGAAATTAATATTTCACAAAAATGGTTCGTTGGAATATCAAATTCTTGTTAGGAAAGTGACATTAACAAAGTCTCTATGGATATAAATACTGTAGTCATTTACTGTTTGATATTATAGTTCATTTGAAACAACGCCATATTCTAGTCTACACTATAATGACTGGTGAATTTATATATGTAGAACTTCTGCAATTTATTTATCAAACAATTTATCGCGCTGAGATTTATTCTTTTGATAAAAAGAATAAATTTTCGTACGGTCGTACTTTACCAGATTGCGTCCAACATTTTCGATCGTAATCGCATAAACTTTTGTAAACAAAGTAATTAAAGGAATTTAATGTCGCAACAGGAATGTGAAGTTTAACAATTGATCTTTACACACAGACTGAAATTCTAATCGTTAAGATCACATTACAGTAAATTCTCCCTAATTGACATTCAGATTGTGCATAAAAATGGACAATTTGGAAAGAGGAGATACGATTATTCGAGCCTTGCGATTCGTTTTCATAGTTACCGCTCATCAACAAGTATAAAAACGAGGGAGAATTTACTTGTGCATACATCATAGATCTATCGCTATATCTATCTGTCTTTCTATTTATCATAGATTACATTACGTAGAATATGATTGCGAAATAAATTAAATGCTATATATAAATTTACTTATATTTTATAAATTGTTAACACTTTAAGTATAGCATGAGTAAGTAAATATATTAATAATTATGCTCATGCTACGCTTAAAGTTTTAACAATTTATAATATATCAATATATGTAAGGTAAAAGTAGCTTTGTATTACGATAATTTCGAAGTTAAAATAGTTTTGTTTGTAGGCATTGTGTAAGAATTTATATTTTCAAGAAGAACTTATATATTATGCATCGGTATTAGATCAAAATTATATATGTTGTGTTGACACATTACTTATCGGAATCTACTTATAAGTAGACTGCGAATTTTATGCATTTACGGTAAAGATCAGTAGGTGAAAAGATTAAAAGATACTGACAATATGGATGTATCAATTTGAACTTATTAAGGAAAGAATAAACCTGTGATCGGCTCCTATGTCTTTCAATTGATGCAAACAATTCTTATTTTGCATTCGAATTATTCTTTCACATAACAATCTGAGAACGTGTTACCTAATTTTATTGATAAAGTTCCTTTCTTATTTTCCTTTTTTTAAATGCTCCTAATTGTACACTTACAATTACTTATTTGACAACACAGTGTATTAAAAATATCGCGTGGATTTCGACTCATCGTTTGACCATAACAATCACAGACGGATTTAGGTACAGGCTGAATAGGCTATAGCCTAGGACAGTAGTTTTTAGGAGTCGGCGATTTTTGAGGAAAACTTCACTTTACGTTTTTCTATAGACGGTAAAAAATTATGTGACCTTGTGTAGCTCTACAACTGATTGTTACGGATTGAAGAAAAAATATTAATTATTTCCTATAGATTACATTGCGTTTCAACTGGACCGATCATTTGGTGGAGATCGACACCTTATTACGACGCAAGAATAAATAATGTATGTTTTAATAAAAATGCTGCATCTAGTATTTTAAATGCTTACGATTACCCTTCCTCTTACCTTCTCTTCCTATCGCAGGGTGGCAAAAATTTATTGTAACTCATAACAACGCCATCGCATTTCGATCAAATTTTCAGCATGCATATAAGTTACCGAGATCTACGAAAGACAAAATATTTTGTAAATGTTTTAGGCTCGGATAAAAAAAATTAAAACACGATTTTCTTATTTGTTTTGTCTCATTCCAAGTAATACCAAAATTTTAAAAAAGAAGCATTATAGTCATTGTCTAGTATAATGGTCCCTCTATCATCTAAAAAACAAATTAAGACATTTAGCGTAGTTCTAAAAAAATTGTTGTGTTTCAAAAGGTGTACGGAGATTTTTTGACAAACTGTAGATGCATAATTTGCACAAGCGGCGTTGTGCCATATGCATTGGATCATTTATGATTTTCGATCGCACTTCATAATTTTAATGCATCTTTGACAATAAATACTTTCTTTATTGTTTTCATCCATGATGAAATTGGGATCGTCGTCGATCCACATTTTCGTTCATGAAATCCCACATTTCTGAAGTCTCGGCATTTTAATACGTTCTGTTCCACGTGTGTACCACCGATGGTACATGCTTACATGTTTATTTAATGCACTACACAAATAGTTTATAACAAATTTAGAACTAAAGAATTAATTTCCACCACAAAAAATTGGGTCACAATAAGTTTGTTTCATTGCTATATATACGGTAATTAATAATTACATATAATACATCAAGTTTTATTATAATATAAAATGGTCAGTGTGAAGAGTCAAGTAAAATCTGGTTGGGGCACGGAAATATTGAAACGCACTCGCAGAAAATTCACCTTGACGCTTCAATAATTAAACTGAACAGCTAGAGTTCGAAATACTAATAGCTACACATAATGTTCAATTATCACCTCAAAGTTTTGTAAACATGATTTGCTGTGACTTATGTATATTCAGCATCATATTGATTTATAACTGCTACCAACATTATTCGGTTATGATACAAGTTCTGTCCAATAGACTGAATTCATTTAACAAGATAAATGATTCAGATGAGCATGTACACGACATTAGTTATTTGTCGTGTACATTTATCCATGTGCAATATATTATCGCATATATTATTTTTGATATGCAAAATATGCAAAATAGAAAATATATTTTCAGGATCACCCGATCATGACATAAATTTCAGCCTAGTTTCCATTGGTGCACTAATTATCTAACAAAATATGCACTTCGATAAACATCCGCAGCTCATTTATCAATCAAGTACCGCGTTCATTAGATGCGACCCTGTAAATTTTTTATTATTAGGTCGATTGAAGTCAATAAAGAAAATTCACACGAGGAGTTAAAGGCTATATATTTTTCAGTGTTCGAAAAATGATTTGAAAACTGGGAGAAGCGTTGAACTGCGTATTGCCTCAGATGGAACTTATTTTGATATCGACAAAATTAATTTGACGAATAAATAAATAGTTTGTGTTTGATTTACAAATTCTAGCTATTCTTTTTTACATAATGTATAACGCGTAACGCATTACCGCGTCATACGGGATTCTATCGTATTTCTGTAGTGTGTTGATAATGTTGGGCGTGACAAGGAACTGGTAAAATAGAAACTGGTTCGCGAAATCTAGCCGTGTAAATACACCGAGTGTGCCAATTCTTTCTTACGCATCGTCTGTGGCGTCGCTTGTTGGTAATGTCGAGTAAGCTTCCGTACCAAAAGCTCTCCTTATCTCTACCTTATCGACTGTGGTAACGTTCTGGTTATTATACCCAGTGATTCGAGCAGATGGCGGCAAGTATCTGCTGGTTGCAGAGCTTTCGGAGCTAGTGGTCCGAGGGTAAAAATCCGGCTTAAAATAATTATATGCTTTACCGACGCGATTTCTTCGCTTTCCTAGCACGTATTCACTGCAATTCTATTCATTAATTGGATCCTCGTTCTAGACCCACTTAACTCCTGCTCTCGAAGAGGATTCAATCTCTTACTGACCGAGTTGCGATTGAATTTCCATAAATATATTTAATAACGCAACTCAATTTTCGATGTTATCTCGCAAACGTCGCTGGTAAGCTATCGAAATAGTTGTGCACAACACGAAGTTGTTTATGTTTATGAATTTCGCATTTATCCAGCATTTATTAATTTATTTATTTCGCGACGTGGTTGTATTAATTATGGAATTATTACTGACCACGTGTTTCACGAATCTAATATGAACAATATAGAAATAGATACAACACGATAATATGTTAAAAAACATTGGTTAAATAGGTTTTTTGTGTACATACATTTTTTGAAAGAAGAGAACAGTATCACTTTGTTTGTTGCATCTTTCTTTTTTAATAATGACAGCTCACGTGCGTTGCGATACCAAAAGATGTTCAAATAAATTTTGACATTTAAATATTTCACACGATGTAAATTGTTGTTTCACTGCAGATTTGATATAAGAAAATTACATTGCCATAATTTCTTTCCACTAGACTGTGGATTTTTATGCATTCATGGTACGTGAAGATTTTCCAAGTTGTGCAAGAAACATAGATTAGCAAGGTTTAATAGCAATTAAACATTTTTATTTTATGAGTTATCTTTTAGTCGGCGAGATAAATTTTTCTTTATTTATAATGTTTGTAAAATGATGTATCTGTATGTAAAGTATAAAAAATTGTATTCTGTTCTTAAAATCAAATGTTTTTTAGTCTATATTAGATTATATAGATTTCAATCTTCAGATGATTTTTACGACAAATATATCATAAATTAAAATGAAGTTTTATCGTCAATTTGATAATGTATATATAAATTTTGTTAACTTTACAAATATATAATGAATCTTTTTTTATAACATTTTTTCTCATGCTGAATTTTTGGAACGTGTCTTTGTGAATGTTATTTTCAATATTTAATAACACCACCAGAATACCCGATGCACAGGCATTTCCTACTTTTATTGTCACATCTTTCTTTCTTGTTGCAGTAATAGCTGCCACTTTTTGTTCCATGTAACTCTATGTGTGAAGAAAACTTGGTGTGTTTAAAGCCGAAGACTAAAGTGGCCACAAAATAACATCCCGCTTCTAATCCGGTGTTATTAAATTTTTTCAAACCACACACCTACCTTTTAATATAAATGTTCTTTAACGTTTAGAAAATTACGCTGTCTTTGCTGTGATCAAAAAGCAATGAAAAGAAAGTTATTTGATTTTGAAAATAGGTTTTAAACGGATTTTATTGTAGACACGTATGACAGAGGGATAGTACCTGTGTTTTAATTTAGTAGCCCTCTGGCCGTGATACGACTAAATCCACAATGTTGTGTTATTTGACTATAGTATGTTTATTTGCCAAACGCTGCCGTTTTGTTTGCAATCATTTTCCGCATGTGACGTGTTCTGTTTATAACGGAACCAATTTATCGCAGACCATTTTCCAAATGCCATATGCGATTTTCACACCTTCTACAAATATTCCAACAGTTTGTCTTTAGATACGTCGATATTCGCTACGTTCCAAAGCTGTTAGTAAAATTTAACGTTTCCAAGAACATCCGAGTTTCCAGGAAAACCTGGAAATACTGGAACTGTTTTATCACATTGCCAGGAAATCTAAAATCGTTAATTAAATATTCCAGAAATCATCTTTCCGATAGCAAGTGCATAGAAGATGGCTGCAACATGATTTAGAGTAGTATATTTAATTATAGAATTTAATTGAATTTATTCCCACGACTGTTTCTATATTCTGAGTAAAAATGTGTTATTTAAACAGACAAGTGTTATTCGAAGGAACTAAAAATAAAATGGATAACGTTTATCCATGTTAAAAAATTGATGATACCTCTCCCCTTTGTCCTCTTAACTGTCGAGCCAGAAAAATCGATTGCACTTCGATTGATCAGCCCCTACTGCCCCATATGATTTAAACGCAGGTAAAGACGACTACCACCGTGCTTATAAGGATAACGCTTTTATTAAGATTTTTACTTCGTGAAAATGAAATGAAATTCTTCAAGGGAAATATAGTTCGTTATCTATTTGTTAGAGTTTATCTGTCTTATTACATTGACCAAAGTTTAACCAAACCTTTGAATAAGATTTATACAACTTGTACACAACGTAATTAATTTTTAAGCACATCCTGGATAACATTTTCAAGTTACATAATTGATATTTTACTTTACAAATCCATTTCAACCTTGATCGATCGAATTAATAAAGTATAAGCAACGACTTCTGATATTGAAAAATAACTTACAAAATATTTTACCATTTGCATTTATTCTAAAATAACGTGCAATATTGGATCTCGAAACTCGAATCATAATTTTTGAATCTGGGAAAATTCATGGCAGTGGGACAATGTTAAGCTAAAACTGAAATCTGTTTAGTTAATTAACATCACGTTTAATAGATACAGCGAGTCATTGCTAATCTCCATAGCACTGGACGCATCAAAATGGGTATCGATCCGTGAAATTTTTCTCCTCGTCTGCCTCTACCTGGGATGTCATTAGTGGAACAAATGTATGAATATTCATATCATGGTCTGCACCCAACCTATACAGAAGTCTATTTTAAAGTTACGAAGCGTTTGAGAATTTGTCCACGTTCTTTATCAACTCCTTCCATGATTACCAATTTAGAAAAAGCATTTTAATTCAGAATTTTTCCATTAGTCGTCGCCGGTTAATAATTCCTAGGATTTTCGAATTTTCGCTTCACTTACCCGTGGTTCGTTTCAATATTCGTTCATACACAGATATAATAAACTCTGTAAACTTGGCCGAACACTTTATAGTAATCCGACATTATAATATCCCGAGGGTTGTGGTCGCCTAATGATTAATCGATTCCTCTCATTGTTAATAACTCGACAACTGCGAATTCTATGCTCGGGTGGGCAAATAGCAAGTAAACGTGACCGCATCGTCACCAGCAATATTTCGACCAACAGTTTCGGGACATATAAGTTGTAAACCAGG